ACCCCAGTGGACTTTTTGTTTTGTATTTTTGACTCTGAACTGTCCAAGCAGCCAATTCCCATCAGGTATTTGCTCCAGTTGCCAGTCCTACTTCGGATCTACACCTTTCCCACCTACTGAGGATAACAAGATGTTCTCACCCTCTCCGAACACCAGGCAGTCTTGATCCTCTACTAACGCTGGTTATTTGGATTTTTGATTTCACCTCAGCTTAAAAATACATCAGGAGAAGTCTCTGCCTCCTTAAACCCACAAACAAAAGTTGCACAGGAGTGTGTTCTGATGGCTGCACTCCTCCCCTGCACGTGGCGTTGGCTCCACACAGGGGCACATGTTAATGGGTTTAGTGCTTGGTAGGTTTGGGGTATTTTGATGGGTTAGAAACCCCTTGGCTTGGATAAACCCCCTTTCTCACTGTATCTCTCTTTATAGCATTGCATCAAATGTCTTAAACTGAGCTAATGCAAGCCACAGCCACTGCACTGTTCTCACTCAGCAGGACAGACATGGTAACAGAGTACACCACCAGATTCCTTTGCTTTAGTCAGCTCTCCAGTAACCTCAGAATATCCATCAGTAAATGCACTTTCCCACTGCTCCAAGTGAAAGCAGATACAGACCCATAATTTAATACTCAAAAGAGAAGGAGCCTCATCAAATTATGCCTTGTCTGACCTTGAAGCCCTCCCAGAGCACTCCCCCAGCCCTGCTGCTGGGCCAGGGCACGGCAGCATGTGTCACTGGCTGATCCAGTTCCCAGTCTCCCATCCCAGCTTAAAGTCTCCCCTAATGCCCTAAGACATAAGATGTGCAGCTTTCTGCTGCTGTACCTCAGTAGCTGTTCCCTCAATATTTAATCTTGTAAGCTGTTAATGCACAGATCTGTGCTAAGCAGCAGGGTTCAGCTTTTTCCATACTCAAAATTTGCTGCCTTCTTGTCTGAGCGTGGCAAAGACCATTCTTTTACTCCTCAGACCTCAACTCAAGCCCAAACCATTCCATTTTAACCCAGAGAGACCCTAGGTGGATTTCCTCCTCCTGTGAGCCTCCCTTTCCCTGAAATGCAGAGCAGAGACTTTTGGCCAGGCAGTGCCTCTGCATTTCTGCCCATTTTTATTTATTCAGTGCAGCCCTGAGCTGTCTCAGCAGGCCACACAAACAAAGGGCCGGAGGCAGCCCAGCCTGGCTCCGGAGATGCTGCAGCTGGCCCGGCCAACTCCATGCCAGCGCTGTGCCAGCTGCCACACAGGGCACACAGCCACCAAGGACACAAGGGGGAGGCAGGGCACAGGGGCACATGCCAAACCTTCATTCCTCCCAGGCCAGGCTGCTGCCTGTCCTCATGGGGAAGGAGCTGTTGCTGCCTTTCAGCAGGGAATTGCCTCCTCCCTCTGCTCTCCAAGAGATGAGATGCTTTGGTCCTGACCAGAGCAAGACTTCGGTACCTGACTGAAGTGTTCCACCTTAGAAGGAATATACACTCATAGAATCATCAAGGTTGGAGGAGACCTCTCAGATCATCGTGTCCAATCATTAACCTGTCACTGCTAGAACCCTTAACCCCTAAACCATATCCTCCAGCACCAGATCCAGATGCCTCTTAAACACCTCCAGGGATGGTGACTCCACCACCTCTCTGGGCAATATTCCAGTACACAGAATCACCAAGGTTGGAGGAGACCTCTAAGATCGAGTCTAACCATTAACCTGTCACTGCTGTAACCCCTAAACCATATCTTCCAGACACCTTTTAAACAGCTCTAGGAATGGTGACTCCACCACCACCCTGGGCAATATTCCAGTGCCTGGACACCCTAACAGGGAAAACATTTTCCCTAACATCTAATCTGACTCTCCCCAGTCTCAGCTCATGGTCATTCCCTCTCACTGCTCCATAGGAAGCGGTCCATAACGCATCCCCAGGGACTAGACTACACCAGCACAAAGCCAAAGCTTTGTGAGACACGAATTGCTCAGCTCTTGGGTCACCTAATCCCTTAGGCTCTCAGCTCCACCTATACCAGGAAGCCTTTTCCATGGATATCCTTCAAGACAGAAGTAATTTAAACTCCTGAACGCAGTTCATCCTACAGAATCTATTTTCTGAGCAGTGTGGGAAGGCCCCGTCCTGCACAACCAGTTATTAGCACCACCAGGAGTGTGTGTTTAGCTGCAGAACAGGGAGAACAAAGGATTATTAGATAAAATTCTGATTAGTTCAGCTGAAAGCAAAATATCAGCTGGAGCCTGGGGTAGCACAGGCATGCTAACAGCAAACATGTGCTGCCAGAGCATCTGCACACACACACCAGCTTGGACCACAGGGAGCCTCAGACAGCTCCGTGCTCCAATGGCTCAGTCCTGCCCTCAGCTTGGCAAAGCCTTTGGCCCTACAGGAATGAGAGTGATGAAACCCAAGTTTTCCCACTTCATAGAATCATAGAATTTTAGGGGTTGGAATGGACCTTGGAGATCATCCAGCCCCAACCCCCTGACCTGGGCAGGGACACCTCCCACCAGACCAGGTTGCTCCAGGCTTCATCCAACCTGGCTTTGAACACTGTCTCCCTGGGCAACCTGTGCCAGTGTCTCACCACCCTCACAAGAAAAAACTTCTAATATCTAACCTAAATTTTCCCTCTTTCAATTTGTACCCATTGTACTTCATGCCCTCCTAGCAGCAGCCATGCTTCGTTAGCTTTCCAGGTGGGAACAGGGCCATCAACATAGCAATGGCAGTCCCACTGCCCGGAATCACACCACTCTGCCTCCTACCAGCCTGCCTGGCTGCAGCCACAGCCATTAAAAGGTTAGATCCTGCTGCACAAGTTAATGAAGCCACTCTGTGAGAGGGCAGACTCCCCCAGCACCAGCTAAATAATAGATATCACAGGGGGCTGGGAGGGAAGTGGTGCATCCTTGCAAGGTCATGCTGGAATGCATCAGTGGCTCCCTGAGGCTGGGCTGCTCTGCTGAGAAGCCTGAAGCTATTTATGACTCATGTAATTAATTAATGCCACCGTTCTGCTGCAGGCACGTGGGAGAGCAAAGGGAAATGGAAGCCAGCAGGTTAGGAGATGCAGTGGAGGTGGGAGAGAAGGATGACATTTCTTGTGGCAAGACATGCTTTGAAGTAATTACCAACAGTCCAAACAGCCTGCAGCTCCCTCAGCTACGTCACAGCAAAGTCAATTAGGAGCCTTAAAAATGCATTGGCTTATGTTTCAGAGAGCATGGAGGATAAGAAGGAGCCACTGGAGGGAGGGCAGAGACATTTTGAAGACCACCACAATTTATAATGGGGATAAACTGCAAGAGGGAAATTTAGATTAGATATCAAGAAGAAGTTTTCCCTGTGAGGGTCGTGAGACAGTGGCACAGGTTGCCCAGGCAGGCTGTGGCTGCCCCAACCCTGGCAGTGTTCAGAGCCAGATTGGATGAAGCCTTGAGCAACCTGTTCTGGTGGGAGGTGTCCCTGCCCAGGGCAGGGGGTTGGCACGAGAGGATCTCTAAGGTCCATTCTAACCCCTTAACATTCTATGAAACTGTGAATACCCCGCAGATCCTCAGACTCCACAGATGGTGTGACCAGCAGAGGGAGCACAGTTAATGCCTTCCCAGTCACAAATGCTTTGGGATGAGCAGCAGTTTGACCCACAGTTTATGTGTCTCCAAAGCCTGAGGAAAAGCAGCAAGAGAAAGGACTGAAGGTGAACACCGTGGAAGCCGAGTCCCTGCAGGCACTCAGGGTTTCTGGCACACACCTCCCCTGTTCAGAGCCAGCTCCCCAAGCTCCCCAAAGTTCCCAGATCTCAGTCAGAAAGGGACCAGGTCTGTGGCTTTCCCCTCCAGCCTGCAATATTGCAGCCTCACACGGCACACTCAACATGTGGCGACGCTGAGTCATGACACTGCGCTGGCACAGACCGTCTGAGGACAGTGGAGCTTAACCTAATTTGGTCCCTTTATTTGTCCTCTGCACAGAGGAGATCAATCAGTTCCACTCCCTGCCTTCACATCCCCCTGCAGCCAGTGCCTAATACATTATTAAACCTGTAAATACAAACAAAGCACACCCTTTCCCTCCTCTGGGAGAACTCTAAAGTCCTTCTGGGCTGTCCAGCTCCCACCCAGGCTGCATCCTCTCTCATGTCTCTTTGTTGCCAGAATATCTCCTAACAGTTCCCAAATGTATCCATTCATTGTACTCACTCCCTCTTATCAGAGCAGCCTGCAACAAATCCTCTCACATAACAAAGATTGCAAATTTGCTTACAACCCAGTATTATTTCCCATTTCTGCTCCTCTGTGCATCTCTCTTCTCTCTGGACACTTGCAGGGGTCAGGAAGCACAGCATCAGTCTGCCACAGCCATCTGGATGAGCAGCAGAGCTGCCTGCAGCCCCAACCCAGGCTGGCTAAGCCTGGAAGGCTGCAGGATGCTCTCCTTTGAGCCTGACCCACCTCCACGGTCTGGGGGATTGTGTTTTCCACCCTCTGATCCCTGCCAGAGCCCTCAGATCCTGGCTGCTGGAACTCCCCACTGCTGCCTGCTGCTTTTCTGGAGCAAGCCCATGCAAATTCATAGCAGAGATTAAAAACAAGAAGAAGAATAAATGAAACAGGAGTGGGTTTTAGTTACATAAATATATATGAGAGAGTAGAACAAGAGCAACAAAGTACTTCTTCCTGGTGGGCTGAGAATCAACACGAGCCTCAGTCTCCAGGGTAAAACAGGAGCGAAGTAAAGGACAACACCAACACCCACTTAGCATTCCTGATCCATCCTCCTGCTCCGAGCCTCAGGAGCTCCTATTAAATGCTGTAATGCTCCCAATTACCAGTGATCTGCATTTTTTGTTTTCTAAACAGATTTCCCCCTTCCCCTGGGAGAGATCCCGTAAGCCTCAGACAAAAGCAGCCTTGAAGAGGTGTTTGAACCTCTTTTGGCTGTGCAATACCCACAGTTGGCTCAATTTCCCTCCTGGTTCCATACTGACCTTGAGGATATTTCGGCCATCGAATGACTCCCGTTCCTTGAGGGATGATTTCCCAGGCACTGGATTGTTTCTCTCTTCAGCTGTAGAGGGAAAAGCCACCACCAGAATGAGCTTCAGATGGGAGAACTCTGTGTACTGTACCTCACCCCCCCCACTCTCCCTCCCCAGAATCAGCTGCCAGCTAATAAACCATATTTGCCCAGTTCTTAGTGCAAAAACAACCACTTCCACTTGGATTTTGAAGGGAATAAGGCAGGAGTTGGTGTGTCTATCAGGATCACCTGTTACCTGGAGGAAAGATTCTGAACCATAGCTATTGCCAGGGTGATCCTGTGGGGCTGATGGCTCAGTGCAACACACCTGCTTCCCTGTGGCTGATTTTAATCCCACATCCTGCCATGCCAGGGTGAGAGGCATGTTCCACGGCCTGGAACAACCCCAAATTCCAGGCTGAGATTGCCAACACAATGGCACCAATACAAACCTCTGCTGCCTGCTCTGGGAAGCACATCCATGTGGTGTGGATGCTCCTGCAGAGTGGGCACACAGCCACACACAGGCAATCAGCTCAGAACCCAGGCCCAGGGCAACTGCCAAGTGCCTACATCTTGCAGCCATTTCCCCAGAGCATGTCTGGGGTTTTATATAATCCCCAAGTACATGATCTGTTCTTTCCACAGGACCTCTACCTCACTCAAGAAATAGATTCAGCAGTTCTCTTTCATCTCCAGCATTGCCTCTGAGGTCTCCCTCCCATCCAGGCTGCTATTCAAATCCTGCCTGGAATATCAAGCGACTTCGACTTCCAGGGTTGCCTGCGGAATGCTCTCCCCATTGTGTCTGAATGCCTGACATGCCTCATGGGGCTGTGCAGAATCCAGGCTCAGAATGTCAGAGGGAGCTGTCCATGTGCCTCTCCCCTCACTGACAGACATACCAGCACTTTGGGCTCACGTTTTTGGGGCTCAATTCAAGACCTAAGCCCTAACTTTTCATGGTTTCTCCCACCTCAGTGTGTTCTCTGACTTCAGCAGCTGTCAGAGCCTGAGTCTGCCCAGAAAACCATGACACACATCACCTGCTGAGCTCACTGTCCACACACACACTCAGAGAGGCAGCAGAACTCAGAGAATTCCCAACACAAGCTATGGGCACTGTGCCAGAGCACACACATGTCTGCACATAGAAAACCAGGCTGTAACACACTGCCCCTCCCCAAATGCGATGCTTCTGAGGCTGCTTTATAAAGTAATGTGGTAAGAATGATGCTGCAGACTGCCAGAGCAGACAATCTCTTGGCAGACATGGCAGACACCATCCACTTAAGAGTAGCTCCCATTCAGCCTTGCAGTGTCTGCGTCTGATTTAAGGAGAATGGCCCTGGAATCACATTCCTAAACCAATGGGCAATCTTGAACTTGACCAAAGAGGATTATGTTTTCATCTTGTTTAAAGGTCAGCACAGCACATGGAGTCATTACTGAATTTCAGTTTAATGCTGGGGCACAGAGAGCACAAGACCTCACCTACACAAGGAGCAGCTGAGGGCACTGGATCTGGTCAGCCTGGGGAAGAGAAGGCTGAAGGGAGACCTCAGGGGTCTGCAGCTTCCTCAGGAGGGGCCATGGTGGGGCAGCACCAACTTCTGCTCTCTGTGACCAGTGACAGGCCCTGGGGAGCGGCATGGAGCTGTGCCAGGGGAGGTTTAGGCTGGATATTAGGCAAAGGTTCTTCCCCCAGAAGGTGTTTGGGCACTGGAACAGCTCCCCAGGGCAGTGGTCACAGCCCCAAGCCTGACAGAACTCAAGGAGTGTTTGGCCAATGCTCTCAGGCACATGGTGGATTGTTGGGGTATCCTGTGCAGGGCAGGAGTTGGACTTGATGATCCTTGTGGGTCTCTTCCAAGTCAGGATATCCTATAATTTTCCTTGAACACATTCCTCCCTATCCCAGATCCTGTGAGTGCTACTGGGTGCCAAGGTTTTGGAACCTATGAATCTGCTGATTGCTTTTTCATCTTCCTCTGGGTTTTCCCTCCTGCCATTCTCCCACAGCCCTGCAGGTATTCTTGAGCTTAAGAAAAATCACAGCACTGAAGAAATCAAACAACAGAAGCATTTGCTGAGCAGTGGCACTACTTGAAATGCATTTATCAGTAGGGATGAAGGATCTGTACCTACTTGGATCTTTCCTGAAGAGAGTGTTCATGACTGTAGCGTGCAGCTTCACCCTATCCCATTCCTTCAGCATCAGGCCCGAGGCCACAAACCTCTCCACCAGCTGATCTGCAATCACCTGCAGCCTGGGGAGGCACAAAGAGAAGGAACATGTCAACCAAAGAGAAGTTCCTGCATCATCAGCTTTTGGCTATTCAGCCAGGGGGCAGCAAGTGTGAAATGAAGTCTCTGCATGCACACAGGAAAGGGAGTTATAGTTCCTGCTGGAAAGGGAGCAGAGCCACCGGGATTCAGTTCCAGTGCTGAGTTCTGGCTGTTTCCAAAGCTTCCTCCACAACTGCTTCTGCTGCAAGTACTCCAGGAGGAAGGGCAGATTTAGCACAGCAGAGGACTTGCTCACAGTGACAGATGTTCCTAGGAGCTGAGGGATGCAACTCTCCACTGCCAGGAACACACTGTGACTCTCCTTGCAAATGCTAAGATCTGCAGTTCCACAGGGGCTTTGCCATCTTCAGTCCCAGAGGATCTGCTGGAGCCTGGAGCCTCCCTGTCCCAAATAAGCAACCCAGTCACTGGGCTGGATTTATGGGAGTGCCCAGGATGTGATGAGAGAGGGCATCAACCTAGACAGCACAGCCTGGTGAAGGCTCCACATTTGGAGCAACTGAGCAAGGAGAACAAAAGGACTTACTCCCACCTTCGTGACAGGGATGAGAGCAGCTGTGGCTGCTGGATCTGTGGGCACACCTGTCCTAGGACAGGAAGCAGAAGCAGGCCAGGGATCACAGCACACAGAATCATAGAATGTTAAGGGGTTGGAATGGACTTCAGAGATCATCCAGTACCAAACTTGTCCTGGGCAGGGACACCTCCCACCAGAACAGGTTGCTCAAGGCTTTAGCCAACCTGGCTTTGAACACTGCCAGGGTTGGGGCAGCCACAGCCTCCCTGGGCAACCTGTGCCAGTGTCTCACCACCCTCACAGCCAAAACTTCTGCCTAAGATCTCATCTAAATTTCCCTCTTTCAATTCATGCCCATTACTCCTTGTACTGTCACTGTAGCTCCTAACACAGACTCCCTGGAGCCCCTTCAGATCCTGGCAGGTTGCTCTGAGGTCTCCACACAACCTTCTCTTCTCCAGGCTGAACAGCCCCAACTCTCTCATAAGGAAGGTCCTTTGATCAGCTTTGTGGCCTCCTCTGGACTTGCTCCAACAGCTGTACACAGACGAACAAAGGCATCTCTGCTACCTACCTGATCCCTTCTACTAACACAGAGTCCCTCTGCAGCTTCCCTGGAGCTCCTTCAGGTCCTGGAAGGAAGCATGCTCATATATCCTATGTCTGAAGAGCCAAAGGAACTTCCAGGCTGCTGCTGTCTCTGAAAGATTCCTGAAGCTCCTGAGCCTTACCCAAAGCAGTGAGGATGTGCTAGAACAAGAGCTTCCAAACACAAGGCCAGAGGGTATTTATGCAGAGGAATCTGAGCTTCCCTCAGCACGTCCAAGGGCTGAGGTCCCACCACTTGGGTGTCTGAGCTGCAGCAGAGTGTGGCTGGTCCCAGCCCAGCCCCCAGAGCCTGGGCTGCCACGCTCCAGGTGCCAGTTCCTGCACCAGCACTGCTCTGTGCTGCCCCTCACGGGCTGTCACCCCCATGTGACCATTTCTAGACCCTCAAACCACCAATTCTCCTGGTTTTCCACCATTTCCTGGCTTTCCTTCAGTGATTTTTAAAATTAGCAGTGACAAAGATTAAATGAATATCATTACAGACAATACTAAAACAAATTAGCAGAGAATAGCTCAAGTGAAAATGGTGCTTTATTGCTTTATAAAGTTAATCAAGGAAATAAAACAAATTAGAATGAATTATAATGGAAATTATTTGCCATGTGGGAGGCATCAGAGCATGATCCCTCTTTCAGTCTGAGCCATTCTATGTGCAGAAGGGCTTGTCAACCCCGAATTCTGTCTGCAGTTATGCAAGCTAAGTCAGGATAAATCAAATCTCCTGCTTTACAGCTTAAGCTGATCGAGATCATCCAAAGATCAGGAAGGAACTCCACCCCACAGCCATGCCAGGAACCACACAGGGCCAACAGGACATCTCGCATGAGACAGGAAGGCACACACCTCTCCCAAACACAGGCTGCAGCAGCCTGAGCCAGCGCAGCAAGCCACATGGCTGCTGCTCTCCTCTAGTCTTGGCCTTGCAGCCCAGAAACTCCTCTCTGTCTGCTTTCCCCATTTCCCCGAGCAAGGCACAGCAGGAGTCAGCAGGCACGTGGTGCAAGGAGCTGCTCAGCAATGACTGGACTTGCAGGCCAGGAAAGAGAGTTTTCTGGAGGGATCACCACTTGTCCCCTCTTTATATTCACTGTGTGTCCAACACTGTCTGCTGGAATCTCAAAGAAGCAAAAGCTGCTCTCCATCAACATAAAAATACTTTCTTTCCCCTCTGCAAAGCTAAATGTTTTTCTGGCTGCTGGCTAGCGCTGAAGGAATTGTATTAGGGGAGAAGTAGCAGATGAATTAATTTACAGGTGAGGGCAGGAGCAGCCTGGGCCAAGGATTAAATTTCACGTTGCTTTGCCCTCTCTGAGCCCATTGCTGTGCAAAAGGCAGAACAGGAATTGTGAAGAGAGGCCTGGCTGCCCACAGGTGCCATGCAAAGCGTGAGGTACGGCTTTAGTCAAAACCTCAGCTAACAGATACCTGTGAACGAGACATCAGCCCTTTCCTAGGGGATGGAGGGGCAACATTTCAAGTTTCAAGGCAAGGTGGATTTGAGCCCTCACTGCTCTCCCTGGCCAAAGCAGCTCTGCCACTCCTGGTGCACATCAGCACTTTGTCTAGCATCATGGCTGAGTGGGCTCTTAGCAGAAGGCCTACAGCTGGCACCTGAAACACCCCAGGGGGCTAGTACCAACAACTCAAGCTGTCCTCAGAGGTAGGCAGGCAGCACTGTCAGTTCAGGCCCTACTCATGCTCTGCAGGATTCCTCCAGCAGCTCCTCAGGCCAGGGATTCATTTCCAGATGCAATCAGGAAACCAGCACCTCCGAGAGACCCAAAGCTCAGTGACTCAGGAGATGAGGCTCTTATCAGCTCTCAGAGCTGACATTCAGATGCTCCCTACAACAAACCCACCAAAGGGCATTTGGGTCAATCTGTGTCTGCCTCTGTCTCATCTTTCTGAGTGCTCCTGCCTTCTTTCTCCCTGAGCTCTGTGTCCTGGCTGATCTCTAGCTTGCCCTAGTGCTCCACCCACCCCTGCTTATTTCATCTCACCTCTTTCAGGGTAGGACAGACTTCAAAGTGGAAGAGCCAAGAAAAAGAAAAATATTTCAGTCCCTACTGCCTCCCAGTAATTCTTACATTGTCATTCTCCCACCCATTTCCTTATCTCACTTCCCATCTCTTCCTTCAACACAGCCTCTAAAGAGCAGTTTGAAGCAGGGTTCTCCTGGCTCCTCAGCCCTCAGGGAAAGGAAATGCCAGAGCATGTCCCTTCTTCCCTGAATCCCTGCTCATAGCCTCGCTTCTCCACCTGCACTGCTCCGTGCTCCTCTGCAACTCCTGCTGTCCTCTGGCAAGGGGAATATACAACAAAAGGGCAGTGCTGTCACGAAAAGACAAGGCTGAGGCTCAGAGAGAGAAGGCTGAAGCTCTTCTGGCTACTACCCTACCTTCTTTCCAGCAACTGGCAGCATGGAGGACAACAACTCTTATGTTAGTCATAGAATCCCACAATGGTTTGGCTTGGAAGGGATGTTAAAGATCCAGTTCCAACCCCCTGCCACGTTCAAAGCCAGGTTGGATGAAGCCTTGAGCAACCTGTTCTGGTGGGAGGTGTCCCTGCCCAGGGCAGGGGGTTGGCACTGGATGATCTCTAAGCTCCATTCCAACCCCTTAACATACTATGATACTATGACATCTTCCACTAGCCCAGGTTGCTCCAAGTCCCCTCCATGTTTCCTCAGTGTTCCAGAAAGCACCAAGGCAAAAGGTGGTTCTGCCACTGGTGACACAATTCTCCAAAACAAGGTAGAGGAAGATTGTCCAGACACTGCCACATCCCAGGCAGTGCTGCCTGTAGAGTTAAATCCATCAGCCACAGTGGTGAACAGCACTGACACCAACCAGCTTCAAGACTTCCCAGCAGCAGCTCAGCAGAGATTTCACACCGAGTGCCTGTTCCAGGCTGCTACACACACAAAAACCAGGTCTGCAATCAAGTCATGCCATCCTGAGGACCTGCTGGTGTAACTGGGCTTTAGGAATAATTCAGTGCTGCAGAACAGGCCAGGCTGTCCAGAATAATCTGGATTGCCGGTTGGGAACTAGACAGCAGAGGCCAAGTGGTCCTGCCTGCTAAGTCATCTCAGGAGTGTCTCCTCAGTCATCTGATCCCTGCAGGAGCTGTGACTCCATTATTCACCCTGACAGGCTGCTGCAGGAACAAACGACATCTCTCAGCTACACCACCAGTGACTGATGGAAAGAGCAAACACATCACTGCCTTAACCTGTTTAGGAAGTGAGGATGACTTCATCTTCCTGACTGCTGACCCCAGTGCAGCCAGCAGAGTTCACCAGCCTCAGGGGCTTCCCTGGCACACCCAGGGGGAAGGAAAGAGAGGAGTGTGGGGACTCACCTGTCTGAGCCATCCTTCATGTGCACTTGGGCATAAAGGACATCCATCACAGCAGGGTCATCATTCATGTACTCCACTCCTGCCACTTCCACAGCCAGGGGTTTGCCTCCAGTGATTTGGCTAGAACCCAAGGAATACCTTCTGTTAAAAAGCAAAATGTCACACCTGCTTTTGAAATGCAACACTGATGCACACCCTCGATATTTGGGGTTACTAAGGGAATGATAACAGATGCTTTTTATTGCTGTAATTAGACACCATTTGGAGGCTGAGCAGAACTTAAATGTTATATAGACCATACAGGGCAGTGACCTCCACTATGTTCTTCTCTTTTCCATAACTTTCAGCTTGTTTGCAATGAAAAACAAACCAAAAAAGGCTCCCTAATTCCTAAAGCTCCAAAGGCTTTGGCTGCTATTGTCTTATCACCTTGGGAAGTACAGTGATTTAAATTCATACACTGAGTGTTTCAGACACACATTAAGTCAACTTGTCAGTGCTCACAGGCCACCTCAAGGCTGAGATCTCCACTGACATGTCAGCAAACCCACCAGCAGTAAAGTGGCACAGGCTCTCATTCCAGAGAGGCTCCTGCCTTGCCTCTGAAGTGAGCAATCATGACACAGCCACTGACTTTCCCCAGGAAAGGTACTCCTTACACAACACACTTCAAAGTACACTGCAACATCCACTCACAAATGCTGGAATAAAGCTGGTTTTAAATCAGCTCCAGGTCCTCTTGCAGGAAAATGTGATGTGCACTCCCACACCTGCAAACACACTGTGGAGTGTATCAGTTTCCCCAACACACCTCCTCCTTGCCTTTCCCATCAGAGCATCCCGGGGAGGCTGGTGCCCCTGGGAGCAAGGGATGTCTCCTGGGAAGGACGGGAGTGTCTAGGCAGGCAGATGTCGCCAACACAAGGTAACAAGGTGAGGTGACTCTGCTCTGACCTTGCTCCCTCCTGTAGGTCTCACCCAAGTGAGGTTCCCAGCCAAAATTCCTCAGTGGAATAAGGAAAATGTGGTTTCCCCTCCCAGTACACTTACTGGGAGGAAAAGAGCACAAATGTACTGTTATGCACATCACACTGACAACACTAAAGGTCATGTATTCCCAAAAAAGGCCCAAAAGGGCACATCTACCTTCACAAGGCACTTCCTGTACTCAGAAAGGGAAATGAACACTAATGAAGGTTTGTGCGGGTGGAAAGAAACCTAAATTAATTTTCCAGCTATATTTATTCGGGTGTGGCGGGGAAACAACCTAAAGGTTACATTCAAGTGTTGATTCCCCCTTCACTAAAGGGGAGTAAAGATTTTCTCTGCCTCACTTCAATCCACTTAGAAGGAAGCTGCCACTTCCCAAATACTGCAGGCAGAGCCTCCCCCTGGAAACACACTTGCATGTCTGTTCAGCAGCTGAAAGACTGGAGCTGTCATTTTAAAGGCAGAGGTATGAATTCTGGCCATGCATTAATTCCCACAGCTATTAGCTGGCACAGCACGGCCAATTCTTCATGCACCGAGGCAGCAAAGAAATGAATCTGAAAGCTCTGTGCTCGGTGTGCAAAGGCTTGGCAGAAAGAAATAAATAAGCCACTCCCTCAGGCCATCTCCAATTTCTAAGCTGCACAGAGATAAGCTAATTACAGTGTGATTGGAGCACATTTGCAGCTAAAGCCCTAACATCTGCAGCTCGGTGTTAACAGGAGGTCCTGGAGCAGGTCCTGGAGCAGCAGTGTCAGCCTGATCACTCCCATGGCTCGTGCTGCCTTCCCTGCACACAGTTCCTGCTCAAGGAATGCGTGTCAAGGACACCTCAGCGTCTGCTCTGTGGCAGGAGGGAAGGACGTGCTGGAGCCACTGCAGGAGCATGCGAAGGGAAGGAGCTCAGCCCTCCCCCTGCAGCAGGCAGGGACAGCAGCAGCTCTGCTCACACAGAGAGGACAGGGATGAACATGAGAAACAGAACCACAGAATCATCAAGGCTGGAAGAGACCTTTAAGGTCATTGAGTCCAACCATTAACCTGTCACTGCTGTAACCCCTAAACCCTAAACCTCCTCCAGCACCAGATCCAGACACCTCTTAAACACCTCCAGGGATGGTGACTCCACCACCTCCCTGGGCAATTCCCTAATCCAATGCCTGACCACCCTAATCGTGAAGAAATCTTTGCTAATATCTAATCTGAATCTCAAATAGAAGTGAGGAAAGCGGCTTCCAGGGAGTGTTGAGGCTTTGAGCTGAGCTGTGAGATGCTATCAGGCTCTTTGGGGCTGCTCAGTGATCTCAATCCCCATTTGAAACATTCCAGCCTTTTCCTGAATTCCTAGAGTTAAGACTATTGAGCTGCTTTGCTCTTCACTGTCCCTTGTCACAGACACTGTGCTGCTTTCCCCCCACTCAAGTCCTTGGTGATGATACATCCCTTTTTCAGCACTTACTCCACAAAGTCCTCTTTGCAGCGCTGGAGGAGGTCACAGGCTTTCTGAATCTCTTGTTGGTTCAGGAGCACCAATGTTCCAAGGGTCAGATGGAGCTTTGCAGGGTTCTGGAACAGGCTGCTGCTGACCCCATGATCCTACAAATCAGTCAGTTGATCACATATAGGTGTCTGAACTCACCTACACACCTCCATCAGAGGGATAAATGCTACAGAGGATAGAGAGCAAGCCACTGCCATCAATCCTTTAGTCTCTGGTTGGGTTGGTAATGACTTGAGGTTGAAAAGGGAGGCAAGCTCCCTGCCTGCCTTTCCCTTAGGGCTGGGAACAGCAGCCTGGAAGCTCCTTAGAGCAGGCTGTAATGCAGGACCAGCAGCACTCACTCACACAGGGCTCCAAGAGGAGAGACCTCCACAGCTGTCGAGGCAGCAGCTGCCACCAGCAATGAACTCCACACAAGCCAGCACAGATTTAAAATTTGAGCTAAGTCCATTTTTCTTGTGCAATAAAGCTGGAACTAGCTGTAGTGACAAGTTCTAAATGGTCTCTAAATCCTGTCTAAACACAGGTTGCACCTCACAGCACAAGCACAGCTAATACCAGCTCTGATAATTACATTTTTCTTCTTCCCAGGTGCCCTATAGTGTGCTGAGATGAATTGAGTTTAAATTCTCTTTACAAGAAGAGTTGTGTGTTGTTGCTGGGGGAGAACTGTTCCCAGGTGCAGCAGTGGTTACATCCAGCTTTAAGAAATATGCTCTTTTGTTCTGAGATGCTTATAAAAATACCTCCAGGATGGTTAACACACCCATATTAAAACAATTATTTCCACTTAGTGGCCATTTCCCATCAGTGCATTAAATAACCTCCAATTTTAGCTCCAGATGAAGCCAACCTGCCAGGCCATGGAAGCCTTGCTCTGTCTGTAAAAAGTCCACTGGCTGAGAATGACAGCTTTGAGGTTTCTAGCTGTGCTCCACAGTCTGAAATAAAACCTTTCAGGTGTTTAAACACTGCAGTATCTCAGCCTGTCAGGATTTTAATGCCCCACATCTCACTCAGCATTTGTCATGCCTAATGACCACATCCAGACCCTTCTTTACAGCAGAGCTGGACTAGGGATGAGCCAGCCTGCCACACAGAGGCTGGGGGCCTTGTTCCAGCAGCCACAGGCTGGCAAAAATAGGGATGGCCCCATCTCACTTCTTCCACCTTCCCCTCCCTGCAGTAAAAGCCTTGTGGCTTCCTTTAATTCATCCTGCTGTTAACATGCATGACGGGACATGATTTCTTTCCATCAGCCTTTTTTTTCTCCAATGATATCCATAGCCAGAGAATATTCAGCCCATGACGAAACAGCAGCTTGGATAACAGGAACTGGGAGAAGGTTTGGTTTCTCCTCGCCACGAACGACCAGCCAGTGTCACTCCCACAGAGCACACAGAGGAGGTACAGTACCAGAGCAGTTTGCAGGTCAGAAAGTCAAAGCCCTAACTTCATTTTCTACCCTAGCACCCTGCAAACATCAACCTGCCCCAAAAGCCGGGTTGGTTTTTTCCCTTGGGCTTTCCTACAGCTGAGTGTGGGCTGAGAGCTGACAAAGCAACACCACATCACCACCATAACCCACCTCCCGCCGCTGGGAGATGAGTGGGGAACAGCAGTGCACAGCCAGCAGGACAAGACCTACATAATCTTCCTGGGTTACTCCCTAGTATTTCAGGCAGCTCCTGGAAATCCTGCTCACACCCCTACTCTTCACAGGCCAGCAGATCCCACTTCTCCCACACACAAAGCAGAGGCTGCGTCAGAGGTAGCTCTCCCTGGAACAGCAACGTCTCCGCGGGTGTCTCACAGCCCTTCCTGGTTGGATGCAGCTCACTGACATGCAGAAAGGCTGGAACCCACTTATTCCAATCCCAGGTTATGGTATGCCATCAGCAGCTGCTGTGTTACCTTATGGGAAGCTGCCCTGAGCCCTGCAGCTGGACCAGCAGGGCCAGACAACACCAACTACTGCTAAGGAAGAGCCATGTCTTCCTCTAAGGATAATGATCCCAGGAGATGTGATCCTGTCACCACTGTGATTTTGGAGCTTTACGGACATCTTCCAAAGACCTGAGTAGGCCTCTCAATGTAAGATACAACCAGAAAAGCAGGAGTGAGAAGTGAGACTCAGCATCAGAGATGGGCAGAGGCATACTCTGAGTGCCTCTCAGTGACAAGCTCCTCCTTCACTGGTTTCCTCCTCACAGGGCAGCTCCTCATGGCACAAGTCACAGTGGTTTATGCAAGCAGAGCAGGAAAGCAGAGCATCAGCTCAGGTGTCTCAGCAGGGAATCACCACATTCCACAGGGGAACCCGAGAGCAGGAACTCACTGAAGATACAAACACATAAACCAGATTCTGTTGTCTCTCTGACAATTTACTGTTCAAACTTGGGTTCTCCCAGGATGTGCTGAGAGGCAGGAAGAACAATCCATTTCTGCACCACCCATATGTGGTTACTGTCCATTTTAGCTCATGCCTCTCCCTGACACTGCCCTATCATGCTAAAAAACCAACTCATTTCCACTCAGACTTCAAAAGTCTCATCTTCCCTTCCTCTTGCTACTTAAGATTCTTATCTTGGCTCTGCTCCTTTAGAAGGAACACAGAGAGGATTTTATCTGGCGTCTTCACCTCTCTTTGCAAAGCCCAAGCATGTTGCTCCTCCAAATCTCTGACCCTGTAGTAGGGAAACCATAAACCACAACACACTTCAGGCCTTCTACATGATCAATTCCTCAGCTCTTCCGCCCTGTCTGCGTCCTCTCTGCTGTCTAAGAGCTTCCAGTGTTTGCAGACAGCTTTATGTTTTGGAGGTTGTTTTCCCTTAATAGCAGGGTACTGCATGCCAGCTACATGCTCTCTCCCACCCTGATCCACAAACAAAGGAGGGAGCCAGGAAAACAGCCTTTCCTCGGATTGAGTGAAGAGCTGCAGGCTCAAACCCCTCCCATTTTCTGTCCCTTCCACTCCAAGAGAGAATACCTCATTAGCAATGTTTGGTATTTACAGGTTGCCATATATTACAGCAATCATGTTTCTTCTCCCTGCTACATCTGCAGCCTGTTCAGCCTGCAAACTCAACTGAAAGCACAGACCCAACTGTGATTTCCCACAACAACATTGCTGCAAAGCCTCTTCCCTTCTCCACCTGCACACTCAGACAGGCGACTCAGTTCTCCTCACTCTGACACCTACATGGCTGTGTGAGGAGACTCCCAAGGTCATGCAGACCTCCTGCTCTTCCACACCAGTGATGAGCCTGTCCAGGTGAGACACTTCCCTGTGTTTGTATCAAGTAAACCCCAAAAGTGCCTCCCCTTGGCCCTGCTCCATGGCCTGACAGCCCTGACTGTATGGCATGAACAATACCTGAAGTGTTCTGTATTTCAAGATAAGGTTTATCTCCTTAAAGGTCTTAAAGACACACACAAAAAGAACTTAGAAAGCATATACCTACCAACATAATGCTATAAAATATAAATGAATGGTTGCCATGGCAACTGCTTCAGAGAGAAATAGAGTCCCTCACAAATGCTCAATGGCCAGAAGAAATCCTCTCACACACACACACACATACACACACCTGGTTTTCCCTACCTTATCATTATTACTCTTCATTCAAAGACCGGAGTTTACCCAATGTTTTGCAGCAGGAAGAGAAACTCCACTTCTGTCACTGAAACCTATTCAGATTTCTCCAAGTATCCTGAGAAATCCCATTGCTTTGGACAAATCTATAAGCTCTCTTACTGCTCTGTGAGGCACAGCTTTGAAGGACTGTTTTTCATTACTGATGTGCTCTCCAGCAGACCCTGCTGTGAGATAAAGTGCTATTAGAGTGGCATTACTGGCTCAAGGAGTGATTGAGAGACGTTCAGGGCTGCAATATACTCCGCCACCTAACAGGCAGCAATAAATACATCTAGAAACCCTTTGGCTAATACCAGGAGAAGGAAGGGCAGGAAAATAAAGCTCTACGTATTCCTAGGCTACACATATGCAACCCCCAAATACCTGTTACTGGCTGAATTCTACATCTCAAGCTAAAAATGGGAACCCTGGAGCTGATGTAAGCAGTGCCAGGAACAGTTCAGGGTCTTATGGGACTCTGAGCAGTCCAGATACAGCACAAAAACTGCAGGAGAGACAGAGGGTCAGGCAAGAGAAGGCAAAATGAACATGACCAGCTTGGTCTCAGCACTCCTCTGCCCAAGGTTGGGCTGCTGCAGCTTTCTGGGACAAGGAGCACGTGAAGGGTTTGCACGTGAAGGTTTCTGAATGTGACGGGGGAAGGCAGCAAGATAACATTGTGAACATGTTCCTAAGTGGATGGCAGATCTCCTTGTCTCCTCAGGGATACAACCTGACACTGAAGAGTGAGCAAGAGATGAACAAAGTGACAGAGACAAGATCAGGAGGGGTTTGGAGAGCAAGTAAGATCCCCAGCTGAGGCTGGGCCAGTGGAGGGCTGCAACCTGACCAGGAGGCAGGAAAACTGAGTGCTCTGCAGGGAGAAGGGCTGGTCCTGTGCAGGGCTGGAGTACTGCAGGATGAGAGGCACTGGATGAGAGTATGAACAACAGCATTAGCTGCAAAAATGGATAAAAGACAGCACAACTCAGAAATGTGACACTGACAGGATTCATTTGACAGTGAGGCAGCCTGGGAGCTACAGCCCAGCAGTATGTGTGGGATACACACTGAGGGAGGGATGAGGGAGATCCATGGGACCTGCTGGCAGGTAGCTAGAGGTGCAGGAGGATCACATATACAGAGTCCAGGATGCCAAGGCTTCAAGCAGAGCAGGGCCAGACCTCAAGGGAGATCAAGTGAAAGGACTGGAACAGCCATAAGCCCAGGTGGAAGAGGAGGAAGGAACACCAGACAGGGAGCGGCAGCCTCAACCCAGAGAAAACAGTATGATCAAACACGACAGAGCCCCATGCTGAAGTCACAGCCCCTTCAAGAGCTCCCCTTCTCTCCCTGGAACTAGAAGCCAACAGAGGGAGCCAGTCTACCACTCTGTCCAGCCAATACCACCTCAGGCTGATGTTTCCATCCCCCCTCGTCTTCAGGCTTTCCTTTCACAAAGGAGAGATTTAATACAGCTAGAGCCACTGGCTAATGGGGATAGATGATCCTCCCAGCCCAAGGAAAGGGCTCTCGGCACTGCACTGGCTAATCCCTGGATCTGTTGGCCAGTTTCAGTTGTATTTAATGTCAGCTGGAAGATCCAAATGATAGAAAGTTCCTAAGATATCACTGGAATAGGCAGCTGGGAGAAGAGGGGCTTAAATCCCATCTGCCAGGAGAGACAAGGTTGCACAGCCAGCTCAGGGCTGCTCCTGGGGACGAGGCAACTGACATGCAAGTGACCACAAGAACTTGAGCAACAATTCTTATCTCCCAGGATATCAGATAATTCACACCCATAGCATGAGGACATAGGAAACCAAACTCTTTAAGCTGTGCTATCTGCAAGATTGTGTTTTCCCCTTGGCAAGGCACAAGCAGAAGTGACGGACACGAAGGTGGAGAATATCAGCCCACAAAACCCTGCAGTGTGTGTGCAATGTAACCTGCAGCAGCCACACAGAGAACTCTTCCCTTTTGCCTAGAGATGTCCTTGAGGAGATTCAGGGGACACAGCAATTTAATAGCACCATTCCCTCTCCTCAGCCCAGCCCTGACACACCACTCCTGTCAGACTAGCAGCACACTAAAATAAATCAGGGAACACAGAGCTTTCACTTCATTCTGTTCCTCATTTCCCTATGCCTAACTATTTCCTGCAGCTCCCAAGGCAAGATCTGAAGGCAAGTAGGAGGGACTGTCAGCACAAAGTCTCCTGGGGAAGAAGGGAAGCGATGAGATGTGCAGGATGGCATGTGCTACCAAGTCATTTCTCGCTCAGCTCCAGCAGGGACACCCTTCTTCCTCCACTGTCAGCAGCCAAAGGAAAAGTGAAACAGAAGCAGCAGCAAACTTGTGAATCCCTACCTGGTTTCAGTTATAAAACCATATAAAATGTAGAAAGCTCCACTGCATTATCTAGTGGCTTTCCTATCAAGAACAATCCCGCCACCAATCCTCTTTTGGAATCTTAGCTTTCCTCCCATCTAGGAAACTCTGCAAGGAGGACAAAATAAGTTACTAAGGATTTATTAAGTGAGCCATTCCACTTTTCAGGGGATTTCACAACAGCACTCACAACAAATTCACAGCAAATCCACCAAGTTAAGTAAAAATGCATTCCTACAAAACAGAGTAAGGCCTTCAAGGGAAGCACCCAAAAGCTCTGAAGACAGCACTGCTGCAGGGCTCCCACTGCATATTCATTCCCATGCGGCTTCCTACCTTTGAGCATTTCTCCAAGACTTCGTCCTTGAAGTGCAGGAAGCTCTCCTGGATGGCAGGCTGGTTGAGAGCAAAGGACAGGAAGTGTGTGAAGGGCTGTTTCCGACGGAAGCTGTCCAGGAGCACATCAATCCGTGTCCGGGCAGAGATGACACCGCTCCGGTGCTGCCCAGTGATTACTGCAAGGAGACACAGCAACTTCTGTATGGCTTCAGAGCAACCCCTGTCTGGTTTCAAAGCAGTTCCTGCCTGGTTTCAATGAGACTACAGTGAGACACCCATGCCCATGCTCAATACAGTAGTCAAACGGACTGTGACATTACACATGCACTGTAAAGTATCAATACTGGAGGATACTATGATGGTAAGAACATTTGTCCTGGGTTGCAGTGTGGGGGTATCCATGGTATGTATTCTATTATCATCTCCACAAGCTGTTAGAGCAGGTGGGGCAGTGATCGTTATCACCTTGTCCCTCCCTCAGGGCAATCCTGATGGCTCCCTCAGGGGGCTGTCTCTGATTAACGGGCTGTCAAGGACCCATGCAGGACACATCCTCCCAGTGATCCTTATTGCCTTGTCCCAAGGTGAGGTGACTCACCCCAGGGGTGGGGAGCCAAACATGCTCACAGGGATATAAGCCGGGGTTTGGACCAGCACAGGGAGCCCTTTGCCTGATGGATTCCCAGAGGACAAGAGCTGCTGCTGGACCCTCAGGAGAGAACCGGATCTGCGGGATCACTGCTCCAACAAACCCATCACTCCAGGAGGACTGCAGCACCATTTCATCGGACTACTATTAACTACACCCTGACTGACAGGGTGTCAGGTTACTTTCTGACTCTGTCAGGTTATTTTTTTTGTACTGTTGCATTTGTGTTGTTCATATTAAACTGTACTTCTGACTCAGAGTCTCTCACCGGTTTGCTTTTCAAACCAGCACAACATTCCAGGAGATACCAGGAGGGAACTAGGAAAGTCTGTAGGACAGCATCTCTCTGCTGTTAGTCCCAGGCTCTCTGAGAAAGCCTCAGGGATCAACAGCGCCAGCCATGCCCAGAGAAACCCTGACAGACTCCCTACTTGACTTAAAATGCCTCCTGACACAGCTGTGTTTCGCCCTGCAATGACAGGATGATATCATAAAAAGTGTCCCCGTGCTCTCAAGGAAGTCAGCTCTGAGTGCCTAAAGAACAACCACTGAGAGTCCATCAATTCAGCAGCCCTTCAGCTTCCCAGAGCATTACTTCATGTTTTCACAGAGGCAGCCAGAGTGGGAAAGCAAATCCATCAAGCATCAAGATGGGCTGAGTCGCTTGTGCATGCACTTGAAGGCACCAAACAGAGCACACTCGAACTTGAAAGAACCACAAGGAGCAAAATTCTCTTGGCTTCCTATTAGTACATGTTTTCAGCATCTCTCAACCTTCCTAATGGTCCTTCAAGGTTCTTGGGAAGGAGTCAAGCCCCACTTCTGCAGAAGTACCACCACAGGATCCCCCTGGAACTACCTCCTCAGAGCTCCACCACAACTCCACACTGTGCCAACAATCCCTGGAGCATGCCCTAAGGGGCTCTCCAAACATCCACCCTGGGTCAGCCCTTGGGAGCAACACCTTTCTTTTTAAATCCCTAGAAGTGAGGAGAGGGAACATATGGCAGCAGAAAGGCTGCTCTCCCTGTGGGGATCAAGTGACAGCACCAGAATGGCAGCAATGTCATCAAAACACTCCTCATGTTAGAGAACATGTTCAGTTCATGTATAAATATACAAGGAGGTAACTTTCCCTGAATGTTTAGTTTGGTTCTTATTAATGGGAAAGGCACTATTTTAAAAGCAAACCAGAAAACACATTCAGGCCCACAGTTCCTAAGTCATTCAGGGCCCAGAAGTGAACCTATTCAGTGAATTAAAATAGACTTTTTCCCAAAAAAATCCTCACTGCTTTATAGGCATTTACAGACAGAAAAAACAAACTCTGGAGAAAAGTGAAGTGATTTTTCCAGGGCCATGAAGTGAGTCAGTGCTGTGTCAGAAGCACAAACTAAAGGGAAAACACCTCCTGTTCCCCCTCCCTGCCCAAGTTGTGTTTGTGCTAGAGCAGATGAGAGAACACCCATGTTCAACTCACCGATCTCTCCTTCCACTCCAGGCTTGGGAATGCTGATGGAGGTTCTAGTCTCTGTTTCTAGCCTCTTCTTGGTCTCTCCTTTCTTCCCAATTATGTACCTGGAGGCATAAAGTGACAGTTACACGGTGTTCCTGGGCCACTGTCCATAGAGTGTGTCCAGCCAGGACATGAACCATGTCCTGGATGAGCCTGGCCCCAGGCAGCTGAAGCCCCCAGACAGGATACCTCCGTGCTGGAGGGATGCACACACTCAGCTCCACGTGCAGGACCCCAGCCAGGCACAGAGGGGATTCCTGGGACTACACACATGTCCAGCCTCAGACCACAGAATGATGTTTAGCTGTGGCTCACAACTGGATTAACTGAAAACAAGTCAGCTGGTCCATGACAGCTCTGCCCAGCACATCCTGCCATAGCTCATTTGTCAGCTGGGTTGTCCCTTTTCCCCACCATCCCAGCTGAGGAAGAACTAAAGGCTCTTTCTCTGCTTTTTCCTTTGCTCAAGGTAGTTATTTGCAGCATCCAAATACTCAATGGACCACTTTTCCTTCTCTATACCTCAGCAGAACCATCCAGCTAATAAACCTGTCAAAAATACCTAGATAAAGCTTCAAACACTGCAGGCTTCCCAGTAAATGCTGCATGGGAGTCAACAGCCAATTCCAGTGGTGTGTGCTTGCTCTGAAAGCTTTCACAAACACCCCCTGCCAGGCTGCTGGCCCCACTTCTCCCTCCCCTGCCTTGTCTCCCCTCCCTGCTGCTTTTATCTCCAAGGGAGAGATGCTCCAACACTGCTGCCAGCCAGCAAGCACCACCTGCTGTCCCTGCCACGGGGATGGAGAGGAGCTGAGCCAGGCATTGCCAATCTTCCCTTCCCAAATCCACAGCACAGGATACAGTCCAGAGATCCTCAGAGAATAAATACTCTGTGCTCCACCTCTTCCCCAGCTGGCAGCAGCTCAAACAAACCCCAGGCACACACAGGCTCACTTGTACAAGGGGCTGGGAACCTCCACTCGGCACTGGAAGCCTCTCTCAGTCTCCTCCACCGTGAAGGCATCACAGGGCTCGTCCGGGCAGTCCCCAGGACCTGCCAGGGAAACCACAGCACAGGTACAACCTCTGCAGGGGCTGGGACAAGCTCTGCAGGACAGCAGCCTCCCAGGCTTCTCCCAAGGTGAAATAAAGCAAGGCACAGGCTCCTCTCTGCTGTGCCTAACTGCTTTAGATTTCACCTTGCTGCCAGCTCCAGAACACCTAGTGATTGCTGCTAAATCTGGTGGGATGAGGCATAGGAAAGCAGCAGTTACAGCCTAGGAAAGCAGCAGTTATAGTCTAGGAAAGCAGCACCTACAGCCCAGGTTTCCTCTCAGCTGGAAACTGTGTAATTCCCAACACAGTGGGAATGGGCTCTTCTCCTGGCAGGGTGAGGCGTCTCTTCACCAGCCTGTTCAGAGACTCGGGCAGGGATTTATAGTGCCAAAGACAACAAATAGGTGAGGAAAGTTTTGCTCCAAGGGCTCAGATCAATGTTTTGGGAGCCAGAGACATTCCCACAGCTTCACCACAGAGGAATGGATGCACTTTTCATCCATGCGACACTCAGTTGTGCCTGCTAGGTTCAGATACCATAAAATTACAGTATGTTAAGGAGTTGGAATGGACCTCAAAGATAGCTGCTCCCAACCCCTTGCCCTGGGCAGGGACACCTCCCACCAGAACAGGTTGCTCAAGGCTTTGTCCAACCTGGCTTTGAACACTGCCAGGGTTGGGGCAGCCACAGCCTCCCTGGGCAGACTGTACCAAGTGTGTAACATCCAGAAAGAGTTCCTATCTCCTTCCCAGCACACACAGGGATGAATTTGGGAGTTAAATGCCATGTTAAAACTTTGTTCAACCCACCAAAAAGCAGAGAGAAAGAAACAGGGCCACAATAGCCACAATCCTTTCCATTTCGGAAATAACACCAGAGCTTTGTGCCCACAACAATTCACACCCAACCACAACATACATACAGGCAGATAGACAAAGTGAAACACACTAGGACAAGGAAAATTTTGCCCCCGAAAAAAGGTGACACCTTCCCAAAGCTGCATGGCAGGAGGCCAGTGTTGAAAGACAAAAACACTGCAAGGACAGAGCTCTGTCCTTGCCAAACCTGCAAAGACTCACACTACAGGACAGAAAGGCCCTTCAGGAACCTGGGAAAAATAGACCTACAGTGCTGGCTTGGTTTTCCCTTTGCCTGGAGCTTTCACAGGTAGCAAGCAGAGTGACAGGATGAGAGGACATAGTTTCTAGATGTGCCAGGGGAGGTTTAGGATAGACATCAAGAAGAATCTCATCAGAGAAAGGGTGATAGGGCATTGGAATAGGTTGCCCAGGGAGGTGGTGGAGTCACCACCCTGGAGATGTTTAAGGAACAACTCAACATGGTACCTGGTGCTCTGATCTAGCTGACAAGGTGCTGATGGGTCAGAGGTTGGACTCAATGGGCATGGAGGTCTTTTGCAACATGATGGATTCTGTGACGGTCAGCCAAACCTACTCAGGGTAACTGGGATTCCACCCCCTCTCTGATCAGCAGGACCCTCAGGGAACAAGACAGAGCCTTTTTCTCCCCCTTGCACACCTCACTCCCCCACACAGACAAGGGATTTGTGCTCATGCGGACAGCAGAGATGACACTGAGAGCTCCCTAGGTCTTCAGCATTGATGTTTTCACCTGCAGCACATCCTGCCAGATCACCCCTGGAGCATCACTCCTTACCTGCACAGAAATCCTCCTCCTCATCATCATGGGGGTAGCTCTGCTCCTGGATGAGATTCTTGCGGTATACTCTGTCTCCAATGCGGATCAGGGTGGGCCTCAGCACCTCCATCCTCCTCCTCCTGTGGCAGGACACACAGCTCTGCTAACCTAGCCCAAGGAAAGGGAAATCCCCATGTTTGCTTGTGGATTGGGTTGGAAGGACCTTAAAGCTTGCCTATTCCACCCCCTGCCATGGGCAGGGACACCTTCCACTAGCCCAGGTTGCTCCAAGCCACATCCAGTCTGGTTTGGAACACTCCCAGGGATGGAGCAGCCACAGCTTCTCTGGGCAACCTGTGCCAGTGTCTCACCATCCTCACAGGGAAGGATTTCTTCTCAATATCCAACTTAAATCTCTCCTCCCTGAGCTTAACGCTCGTGAATCTATGCACAAGAGACTTCAGAGAGGCAGCATCACCTCAAATCTTACATCACTCAAAGAGTAACTTGATGAGAACTTAAGTACATATTTCATCAGCTCCCAAAGCACAATCAGACACAAAAGGGAAATTTAAGCAATATAAGGTGTGTAACTCTCTAAAACTCACAAGGTTTAGCCAGAACTCACTGCAGTCTCAGTCACTGTGATGTTTCAGGACTGTGAACTGTTTCACCTCATTGCTCTACACAGCTGCAGATCAACCTCAGCCTCCTGCAAGGATTTCCCCACACCACTGACCACTCCCACACACCTGACATGCTCCATCAGCCTCCCAAAACCAGTTTGTTCCCAAAACCCAGCCCAGTTCCCTGGATGTGCTCAGGAAGCTCCTGGGGAAGGGAAACAAAGCTCTGGTTACACCTCCTGCCATTCCTCTCAGAGCCTGGTGGAAAGCCTGGGGCACACATATAAAATCCTTGCTCTACCCTGTATTACTCCATTATTATAATCTTAAACACAGTTTCTTTGGGCTTTATCTGGCCCTGAGTTAAACTTCTCACCATGGAGGACATTTGCTGCTGTTAGAGCAAAGAACTGACAGTGACCCGTCAGAGACTTCACACCTTCAGCACTTAAAAAGTTCACTGAAATGTTGAGTCTTGGGTGTCTCAGTTTGCCTTGTTTACACAACAGAAATCTCTGAGGCTCAGACAACAAAGTCTCCACCAAAAGATTCACCTCTGTCAGAAGGTTTATCTGTGCACTGCAGGAGAACAGGGAAAATTAAGAGCTTTCCTTTGAAGACATATTTGTCCTAAATGCAGATTCATTAGAGTGACATCAGGTTCAGGAGGTTAAAGCTTATCCATTCAGTTCCAGCACCACCTTCTGAACTGACTCACAACCACCTCGACTCACACTGAGAACGAAAAACTTACACGTAAATGAAAGGAGTTCAAGGAACTGCAGCTCAAGGAAGAAGTGCAGAGGTGAGCTGTGCTCAAAGGAACACAGCATTAACAACAAGTCACAGCCTCTGGGCTTTTTGATGCCACAGGGACTTCTTGGCTTACGACTTCAAACACACATTGGCATCTCAATTCCTTAGCAGGACCAGGCTCCCGGGGGCAGGATCAGCCTCCCCGAGGTAGGACCAGCCTCTCGAGGGCAAGATCCAGCTCCTCCGGGCAGGACCAGGCTCCCGGGGACAGGACTAGCCTCCTGAGCGCAGGATCAGGCCCCTGAGGGGTTGCGGGCAGCTCCGATGCGCACCGCGCCGTGACCGTCCCGTGAGGGCACAGCAGGCTCCGCAGGGCCACGCCGAGGGGCTGAGACTCGTCAGGCCGCTCCGTTCTAGCTCCAAACCCGCCGGGTTAGGCCGCGGCAGAAACGCGACCT